TGCCCACCACAATTGTTTTGCCAAAATAGGGCTCTTCTCTTCGTTGCTTTCATAACCTTCATTAGTGTTTCTGACGAGAGTGCAAATTTTTGATATCAGCAAATTTTCGATAAAGATATTTAAATGTGTTTTTTGAAGGATTCTTGTTTTGAAATGGATCCTGTAATCACGTTGAACTTCTGTTATTGACATTGTTATTGACTGTAGCGATAATTTTTGTTCTTTCTTCTTCGCTGTAGCGAATCATGATGAAAATTTAAGGCTTGATAATTAAACACAAATTTAGCAAGCTATACAGGATAATGACGTAACTATGATACAATATTACCATGAAAATGTTCTTCTTTTAAATAAAACAAGTTTCAACTTCATAACGTTCTTAGTTTTTTATTTATTAACAAATTAAAAGGGTTACTTAATTCTGAAACATCCTGTATATGCTTAAAAAAACAATATCAAATGCAGTGCTGAAATCGCAGTGTTTTGTAACATTTCTACTGGCAGTGAAATTAAATGGCCTGGCTGTTTTCTAGGACGAGCTGGCGCACCAGCACAGGGGTGATGACAAGCAGTGACTATGCCTTTGTAATTTATCCGTAAATGTTTAATGATTTGAAAATTTAGTTACACATAAAATGAATGAAAGTGACATTGAGTAGCCGCCAGTCGGCAACCAGTTAGGATTTGAACCCATGTTGCTTATTGCAGATATTGTTGCTTGGAATTGCACTGTCAGAGATACTGTAGTTACACGTTCATAACTCCGGCATACAATTACTGATGACCCATGACATCAGCACGGCAGGGGTGTCAAGCACGACATCAGCACGGCATCAGCACGGCAGGGGTGTCGAGCATGGTATCAGCACGGCATCAGCACTGTCTCTTATACACATCTAGATGTGTATAAGAGACAGTCTGTTGCCTGCTCTGCGAACTTGCAGCGTCTCTGTTGCCTGCTCTGCGAACTTGCAGCGTCTCTGTTGCCTGCTCTGCGAACTTGCAGCGTCTCTGTTGCCTGCTCTGCGAACTTGCAGCGTCTCTGTTGCCTGCTCTGCGAACTTGCAGCGTCTCTGTTGCCTGCTCTGCGAACTTGCAGCGTCTCTGTTGTGTTACAGTATATTGTTCAAATAGCGACCCACTTTCTTATAAATACATAGTACGAGCGGTGAGCGTACTTACCACTGGTTTCATTACTTTTACTGGACTAAACTGGGTCAGGACGACTCACAAAAGGGCAACACTTGACTCAAGGCTTCAATAACAACGATACTGTTACGATGCAGCGCTTAGGAAATGAGTATCATAATTTGTTATACTAGAAGTTTTACTAGCGATGAGTAGTTTGAAAGAAGTGATAATCACATATATCTAGTGAGTTCTATAAGACAAGTTGAATTCTCAAAATATTAGTTGTGCTGGAAGCTGCAGTCCTCACATCTAAGATAGAAGAAATAGGATTGGTAAATATTGGACGCGGTGGTAGAATTTTCAGTGATACAACTAGTACTCATAAGGGTATTTTCAATATGAAATTACAGTATTGGCTGTAATATTGACTGTGTTGGTAGAAGACGTAGGTGTAATAATTCTCCAGCGTTGAAAAAACATTTATTGTTAACCTGAATACATTAGAAGCGAGAGCAGCTCAGCTGGCGAAGAGAGTCTACTGTGAGTAGCAAACATGGCGTCAGCGAAAGCTGTGGTTGAGATCGAACAGATGTGAAATGCTAACAAAGATATTAACGATATATCATAGATGATAAGAGTCTTATTTATACGCCATGAAGCTAGTACAATCAATCATTTGCTGCAATAATTCTCTATTATACACCCTAGATAAGTATAAATGATAGTGTTGCACACATAAACTTGTACAGGCTTAACAGACAATTTCAGATTTTCCTTGCTATTGATCTATTTTTTAAATAATGTATGAAAAGTTATTATTAAGGGACGCCACAATAATTGATGGTTTTTATTAAGTTTACTTACTGTAATGTCAGGTAGTGATGAAGTATGAAAACTCGATCCAAAGAATGCCCTCAGTTTTAGCCAAAGGTACGACTCTATATTGCAGGACAATTTTTGTTAGTCTACATTTAAGAAACGCATCTGACCTTTGAAAATACAATAATTCTGCTTCGGATCAATGCACCACTAATTCCTTACATTAAAAATTAAATTATTGTTATGGGCCTCATTTACTTCTTATCAGGTTATTTACATGTAAGGAAGCTCAACAAAAACCATCAATAATTGCGTAGTGTCTCGACAGTACAACACTGGGCCATACTTTCAAAACTCGTTAAGTGAACGTAAGTACTTACGCTCTATTTTCTTGTCTATGATTGGTGGATTTTGCTTGAAAGGCCGTCAATGATTGGCTGATGAACTTACGATCTCTTAACTCTTTTTGAAAGTACAACACTGAACTCCTGCGGTAAAGTAAGGAGCGTTCAAGCCGAACGGTAGGGAAACTGTGTTCCTCGAGACCAATTGATGACCCGAGGGATCACACGTTGAGGGAAGTTTATTAGCATGATAAGCAGTTACGATAAGCATGATAAGCTTAATATGAGAAGCGTGACGTACAATAGAATGCATGAAGAGGGCCATTTCCTCTGCTTCCGCTTAACGTGAGTAAGAAGACGGTACTGCACATGGCTAGAATGACAGCTATCCTATAGTAAATTATGTTATTCACGCGGCCAAATAAACGGTATTTAGATGCTTCAAGTACGTAATAGAATTATTTAGATCGTCGCCTACATACCAGGTGTTGTTTGACATGAGCGTTGAAACGACCAAGTCATGCAAAGATAATTTAGCAATACATTGTAGAATAAAAAAATTGCTTCTGGTTTGTTTAGTTCTCATACCTTTACAAAAATTTTAATCTCAGCACAACGTTTAATTTATCCTGTGGGATCAAATGTCGACCTCTTTTTACGAGCAAAATGTTGTCTTCTTTGATAAACTTGCGATGATCGAAGTTTCATTTGGAAAACTTTCTTTGTTTTGTTAGCAACTGAAAAGTTTTTTTGTGCAATGTTGAGGTTATTAGAAAAAAATCGTGATATAATAATATAATATCTGCTGGCAGAGAAGAGGTATGGCTCATACTTTCAGTGAAAACCATTCATTGTAAAATTCTCGGTTTTAGGATTACATAGTTCATTTCATATTTCTGTCTTTTAAAAGGTAAAGAAGATAAATTTCTTAGCACACTATATATAATATACATTAATGCAGAGAATGAAGTGCTATACCTGAAACATGACATGCAGTGGAATGTACGTATAATATTAACAAACTTTCCTCAAGGTATAATTGATCACCTATTTTATACAGATAATCATAACAAATATTTCGACGACCAGTTACAGCCAGATATTTCCTTTGTTCGGCTGTTGTACCGATGTAATGTAGTTAAATATGACCAACATTAAATTTATTCAGCAATGCAGTGAATTTCGATTATGCGCACAATTTTTACTCAGCATCAACAATTAATTCATTGTCGCATGTATTCAAATAGAAGACAGAAGGCGTTGGAACTTTAATATGGGGATCCATTTTTTTTAAAGCCGTCTCAAACATGCTTTAATTTTCAGCTAGCATCTAGTAGAGGACAAATTCCAGACATCAGATATATCCCGATTTGTAAGAAAATATTCGAATATTGTCCAATAATGAATCAAGTCAAGACGAAGTCTGAAAAGAGAATAGAAAATTCCTTTAAGAGGAAGATGTCTGCCTTAAAAAAATTAATAAAAATAAAGGCGAAAGAAGCTTCAAACACGTGAAAACAAAACTTTGGGCATACTAAAATTTAACATTGATTTCGTTACGGTGGAATATGTAGTTTCTGCCATTACAATGTAAGTATGTCAACGTATTAATTTTATATAAAATACCCACTTTTACATAATTTACATGTGTTTTCATATATTTTATTAAAGCTACAATTGATAAACGATAACGGAAAATTAACCAAATGCTATAAAAATGTAGTATCCATGATATGCATACTTATTTGATATGTATTCGTAAACATACATACCAACTTACACTAATTTAGGAGAGGTGCCACGATATTAGAAGCGATTGATTACTACCCAGAGTCATCCTATAAATTTCATTGTAAATAAATACAGGATATGAAGATATAGCGCTTGAAAATTTCGATAATTAATAATTCTGAGCTATGCCGTAACTTGATAGATTGAGCCTATCAGGATCAATTTAATTCCAGTCAGGTTAACGGTGTAGTCAGGTTAACGGTGCAGTCAAGTTAACGGTGTAGTCAGGTTAACGGTGTAGTCAGGTTAACGGTGCAGTCAAGTTAACGGTGTAGTCAGGTTAACGGTGCAGTCAAGTTAACGGTGTAGTCAGGTTAACGGTGTATAGTCAAGTTAACGGTGTAGTCAGGTTAACGGTGTAGTCAGGTTAACGGTGTAGTCAAGTTAACGGTGTAGTCAGGTTAACGGTGTAGTCAGGTTAACGGTGTAGTCAGGTTAACGGTGTAGACAGGTTAACGGTGTAGTCAGGTTAACGGTGTAGTTAGGTTAACGGTGTAGTCAAGTTAACGGCGTAGTCAAGTTAACGGTGTAGTCAGGTTAACGGTGTAGTCAGGTTAACGCACTAGTGTTTACACTTTACATAAATAATGGTAGCATCAGAAGAAACAAGGGAAATAAGTGTTAATTTTTTGGTTCTATATATAATTCTTCTAGCTGCACGGGGGTATAAACAGTAAAGTTCATATATAAAGATGAAGAGAAGTTAATTATATAGATTCATATAAGGTTTTTCATAGATACGGCAGGCAGCTTTAGATTGATTGAAAGGTGTTAATGGTCTTAATAACGATCTTACATTGTCACACTATACCTAATAAAAGTAAATAAAAAAAATGACATTCGAGGTTCAAATACAGCAAGCGGAGATTTAATGCAATTCTTCGGAGAGTCATCTTTCAAAATGACTGTCCGCACTATGACCATTGCTACCGCTATATAGCATTACGAAAATGACATAGAAAGCCATATAGTACTTATAACTTGTGGCCGAAAGTTATTTTCGTGTTGTAGCTTTGACCGCCTTCAGGAGTAGCTTCACGTGATAAATGGCTTCAGTTATAAGTTCTCACTTTGTTATAGTACGTAGGTTCATCTGAACAATCTGTTAGAGTACGGGTGTTCATCTGAACACTCTGTTAGGGAATGAGTGTTCCTCTGAACACTCTGTTATCGTATGAGTGTTCATCTGAAGAAGAAAAACATAAGAACACTAGCGATGACCCCAGTGGCCACGGCAGACGCTGCTGCAGGTGGCTGAGGTGCGGCGTCAAACGGGAAGGTCAGGTCGTAAGGGGGAGACGAATCGCCCAGGCCTTTCATGAATGAACCTAAATGAAAAATAACAGAAATATGAATTTTCATCAGACGAGTGATCAATGATCGTATTTGATAACTGAATGGTACAATGGTTATGATACAATTGACTGCCTACATTATAATGTTGCGACCAAGAGATGCCTTCTCATTCACAATGAATGAGGAAACCGTCACAAGTTCCGATCATAACAAACGGTTTCACCACCAATCAGGTTCAGCTATTTTTCCAGAGAACCAGTTGTATTTTAGAATAGTAATTTGAAATTTTATACTAAAAATGAACTGTAGACTCATAAATAGATAAGTTGTGTTAATTTCCTCCCTGCCTACTGATAACTCAAACAGAGCGAAGACGCCATGCATTTCTACAAACCTTGAGTGGTAATCTATATAGTAGTATATATAGAGTTTGAAAGTATGAAGTAAAAATTACCAGATTAGGAAAAATTGTGGTAACGAAAATGTTAGTGGTTTGTGGATGAGTAACGGAATCAACCAACGGAAAAAGAGGATTGAATACGAAAAGTGAAATTTAAAAAAAAACAACAATAAAACCAGCTTCAAATAGGTTTTTAATTTTATTATTAATTCATTGGCCATAATTTACAGAAAAAGAATTGAGCAAATAGGTGAAAAATTTTCGTGAAAAGACTAGGCCGGAAACTCAACATGTAAATGGTTTCATATTTGTTTTCATTAAACAGTCAAAATAAAGAACCTCACTTATATAAATCCCTGTACTGATCAATGAAATGACCGAAAAAATGCCCAAAAGATTCAAGATAACAATATATTTTAAAAACATTTATAATGTGGAAATAAAATGAGGTTTCAGATCTCAGTTCATAAAGAAAGGAAAAAGTAATGAAAAAGGCTAATGAGGGATTATAATTGCAGGTAAAATTAAAATGATAGAAGCGATATTCTTTGGTCAGGGAGATAATCTTGTTTAATTAATTAAAATGTGGACTTCGAGGAAGCGCAGCATTCCGATATTACACAAAAAATGCCGGTCTTACTAGTGAAATAAATCTAAATGGATTGTTGTCAAGATATTATTATTATCTTTCAATATATTCAAAAGCTATTATTGTGCAAGGGGCGTTTCGAGGACTCACCCTCCTTCTCTCTGAACAGAACATCAACTTCCGAGTACAGTTCATTGAGCGCTTCGTTGTGACGCCAGTGTGGTGGCAATCCTTCTGTGTTATCAGTGAATGAATAATAATTACTCCACTCATTATTTTAATGACAGTTTTAATATCTTCAGTTATTAAATTTCAACAATTTTTATCTGTTTATTTTAAATAAATATTACTTGCAGACTTGTATGCACAAAGGAGTATTACAAATCTGAGTTATGAAGCAGAGAGAAAGAGAGAGACTCGGTAACAAATCAATTAAAAGGTGATGATGACAGAAGAAGTCTAAAAAAATGGAAAATGAATAGCTAATCTATGCATTAAAATCGTCTTGACCATTTCACTTATTAGGCATTCATCCGTTGAATTCAACGACACGCTGAAAACTGTACGAAAATCCTAGTAATTAATAAAATAATGATATTGTTTTCTTTAGAGAAAAATGAATTCACATCGCCTTGTTATTTTTAACCTATGACATCCTACGATATAATGAGTTAAAAATAAACGTAATAACCGTCTATTTCTTCGTTGAAATAAAATATGGTTGCATTTAAGAAGGCCTCGAAGACCAAAACCAATTTTTATATCACAAATAAAATTTTAAACTGGCCGACAATTCAAATGAATGAATTTTATATTCACAGATGTGAAATCCATGTAGTGAAGTATAAGAATAATTACACTGGAAATAATGAAGAATTACATAGGATGCCTTTTTACAACGAAAATGGAGAACAAGAAGATGAATTCACATCTTCAAGCTTCCTCCCTACCGCATTATATTCATGCTAGTAAGCAACGTATCTCAGGACGCGTTTGCACGGTGTGCAGGCACATAGATCGTCGGATTATCAGGTCACATTAGGAGCGTTATTAACAAGAAGTTATAGCGCGCCAGTGAACTGCCCCAGAGCTTCTGAACATTAGCGTATCCAGACCTGCGGAGCTGCGTTATGTCAGGACACGGGTAGGGGAATGAAGCCTCAGCGATGTAAGACGACGTGTGTGAAGTAAGTGTTCTTAAAGTAAGTACCGTTTTGACGTAAAACAAACAATATGTAACTTTTTCAAAAAATAATGCATGCACTTGAAAGGCTATACTTTACTGTTGTGCATAACTCATAACAATATCAAAACAGGCTAGGCTTCGTTGCAGCGAACATGGGGCGCAGAAATTGATTCTTCGGCAGGGGAAACAATGGTTGTAAGAACTACTTAATGCCGGCAGCAGGACTTAAGATGAGAATATATGAAGATTTAGCTAAACAATAGTTTATGGAATAGAACTAAATCATGAATGAATGCAAAGGCTAACGATAACGAATAGGGAAGATTGAGTTGGAATTTGATGTTAGGGGTTTCCGCAAAGTGACAACAGTAGCAGCTGTAGCAGCAAAAACTCCGGCACCGAGACCGTCAGAAACTATAGCGACAACAGGAACAATAGCGATAATGAGAACATAAAAAGAAAAAACTTAGAAGAACTCAATAGAATCATCAGGTCGTACAATCCAACTATAATGACATGACATGGATGACAACAGCAGCAGCAGCAGCAGCAGCAATAATCACACCACTTCAATGATAGTGGCACGAGCAGCAGCAGCAACAATAACACACCCAAAATAGTAGTGGTAACNGACAGCAGTAGCAGCAACATTAACACCACCAGAATGACAGCGGCAAGAGCGGCAGATGCAACAATAACACACCCAAAATAACAGTGGTAACCTCAGCAGTAACAGCAACAATAACACCACCTGAATAACAGCTGTACGAGCAGCAGCAGTAGCAACAATAACACCCCCAAAATAACAGTGGTAACCTCAGCAGTAACAGCAACAATAAATGACAACAGCGGCAAAGCAACAAAGATGGCCCCAGGCCGTTGCGTTCGGTCAACCGTCAAAGCCACTCAAGATTTCTTTGTCCCCCTAAACACAACGAGCCTTTGGACGCATTAAGTTCGTTGCTACAAAAACCTGTTGAGTAATTAAGTAAGTTTTAAGGAATTTCACGGCTATGGAAAGGTAGTTTGATTAACCGAACTCTTGATCTCGTAATTGTTACTTGATTAACGAAGGCGACGAGCACACGCGACGAGAGCGTGTTCTAGGCTACACACTTGTATGAATATTTTTTCATGAATGCAAGGAATTTCAGGCAGTGAAGTCATATTATCTGAATACATTAAAAATTATATATAATTGGCGACCAAAATATTCTAGAATTCAACTCCTAATAATGCGTGAATTGAATTATTTTGCGATCAAACTTCGAAAATTTACGGGAAAATAAACTTTCACTTTGAAATTTAGAGGAAAGATTCGAGATGTTATAAAAATTTTTTTTCCGGCTCTGAAGAAATAGTTCTCAAATTGAGCTCAAAAAATACTGCATAGGACGCTGGGAAACCCGACCCTGAAGTCATTTATTTTTAACCCCCCGAGGCGAGTGATTTTCTGGCTAATGCAGTAACGAATTCTCCTCTCGAAGGCTTCGCTGATTTGAAATAAAGAAATTTTGATAATAATAAAGCCAGGAACCGGCGCTCGTTTCTGCAGGCTATCCGTCTGAGGCTTGATATATTAATGAGGTGACTTTTGGGGGACTGGAATCATTGAGATTTTGAAAATGTATTTTAATCTTTAACTTATTTTTTCAAAATAATCCTAACCAGTGACGAGACTAAAAGCTTTCTTTGATCAGGAAACATTCAATGGGATCAGAAAAGCTTCCTGATAAATTTTAAGATTAGAGTTATTTGCAATTTAATAACCAGTGAAAATAATTTTAACGTACACATAATTTTCGACAAGTAACCTACCGCTAATGTATTATTATCAGTTGAATAGAAAGATATCAATGAATTAGAAAAACTAAAGCTAAAATATCTGGCTGCGCGTTGCTAAAATTACTAGCGAATAAGTTTGCAAATTTAAAGATTATCACCAATCATCATTAAGCCATCAAATAAAATCAAAATTGGAACAAGTTCTAGTTCAGAAATGTTAGCACTCACCTCGCGCTCTCTGCTTATGTTTATAGGAGTCGACAGGACGTATTCGGTGCTGCCCTCCCGCTGTCAGAGAGTCCCTATCTCTGTTCGAGTTACTGTCTGATTCTCCAGCAAACCCGCTAGATCCGCCCTCTATTTCTGGCTTGATTCCCTCTGACCCAATCTCGGTTGAGGGATATTCCTCGTATGATGGCAAGTTGGTCACCGAGGAAGGTTTTTGCGGAGTCGAAGGGTTCATTTCTGCCAACATAAAACAATGAGTGCTTAAAGATTTCGAACAATATATTTATTAACACCGAACGATTATTCTCTATCGAGCTTACGGGTACACAGGTGGATACGGGTATACTCAATCAGTGGATGCGAAATTCAACATAGATATTGATAAGGATATTTTTTATACTCTTAAAAAATTTTTACCGTAAATTTTATTTTATTTCATGATATAAATGAGAGAGCGGCGCTCCTTCTTAAACGATTATTATTAATTCCCGTCATGACAGTTATTGTCGTCATGGTAGTTTAATGTGATAAACGTCGGTTAAAGTTTCATTCCAATCAAGCAACATATTTGAAGGGAATGAATGTTTGCACGACAGAAGCAAACATAAAAGTTTCTTTGAGCAAAGGAAATAAAAAAAAATACAAATAATATAGGCAGTTACCATAGAGTTTTATGGATCCATCGGTCTCGCCCAGACTGTTCTTGGCGATGCACCTGTAGGTGGTGAAGTCCTCACGCGTCAGGTTGTGTATGGTGAGACGCATGTAGGTCTTGTAGGACTCCTCCCGGGTCAGCGTGTCATACTTTGGTCCAGCTAGTGAACACAAATTGGCCTTTTAGGTAGCAAATACCTCAAATATTATTAGTTATATTCTAGAAATTATGTAATTTTTGTCCTCAATACAATGCAAAAATAATTTTCCTAGTTTCAAGATCCCTCAGACATTCACCGGATGATACAAATGATCATCGCGACTGCATTTTTAAAGTAATATCTTGCAGACGTTCATGAATACTTGTTCAATTCTGCAACCAATAGAATTTATACTAGATATTGCCAGTAAATGTAAGGTACATGTACCGTACCATCAGCGATCATCTCGCCGCGATGGTTGGTCCAGTAGTTGATGGAGCGCGGGAAGGCTTCGGTGTTGCACTCTAGGGTGATCTTTCCGCCCACGTGCGCCGCCTCCAGCTGGTTCGGGATCCACAGCATCGGCGGGACTATAATAAGAATATCAGTACTTTTATTGGGTGAATAACATTGGCGAGACTATAAAATAATAAATTTAATATTATTTCTTTTTTAGGATGAATAGCATCATGGGAACTATAAGAAGAGTATCAATACTTGAATTGGATCCGTAGATTAAATTGGATCCGTAGGTGGGACTTTAACTTGAATATCGTTACTTTTATTGGGTGAATAACATTGGCGAGACTATAAAATAATAAATTTAATATTATTTCTTTTTTAGGATGAATAGCATCATGGGAACTATAAGAAGAGTATCAATACTTGAATTGGATCCGTAGATTAAATTGGATCCGTAGGTGGGACTTTAACTTGAATATCATTACTTTCATTGGGTGAATAACATTTGCGAGATTATTGCATTGGCGGTTTTATGCAAAAGACAATGCAACATACCATACAGAAAGGACATTACCCAACATACCATGCAGAAAATGACTAAGATATCGATTTTCAAAGCTAATACTGGTAATGCAATCCTGTACTCCAAGTAGACAACCACCAGCTGTGCTGAAGTAAGATTATATAATCACGTACAGCATGAAGAATGCAGGCAGAGAACTTAAGACAAAATAATTGTCATTACAGCAAAATCCTTTAACTACAAGATAAGTTTTTTTACATCCTAAGTATTAATGCACCATTATTACTGCAGAAGTATAACTGCACAACTAAGTCAGTTTCTGTTCAAGACGATATAGTCCGGATTTTAACAGGATTGGAGGCAAGCAGAATGAGACCATAGTTGTTAAAATGCTAAATGCTGAAGAGAACAGGCAAACACTTGTATAAATATTGGCTTGATTTTTATTTTTTTTTATTATCGAGATGAATATTATAATCGAAAGTTCCTATTTCAAGTTACTGATCTGGAAAACTATGCTAGAGGCTGCGTGTTCTGTCGTGATGGTCGATTGAGATGTGAGCGACTGGATATCTTGATCGGCATGCGTGTTATACGAGTTTTATTGTTATTTATATTCGTACGTTCAGTGCATCAGTTATATGTTTAACATTTATTTATGTAATGTTATTTTGAATTACTTACACTGGACTTTGAGTTGCGTGCGCTTGCTGACGGAAGGCTGGATGCCGTTGCTGGCAACGCAGAGGAAAGCTCCCATGTCCAGCCGCGACACCTTCACCATGTTCAGCACCTCCCCCTCACCCACCACCACTGCACGATCATCAGTTATGGCAGTTAGTATGTGATCAACTCCTTCACCATGTTCAGCACCTCCCCCTCACCCACCACAACTGCATGATCATCAGTTACGGCAGTTAGTATGTGATCAACACCTTCACCATGTTCAGCACCTCCCCTTCCCATCGCCACCGCACAGATTTTTCGGTTGTGACATGTGCGATCAACCATCACCCTCAACTCTACATTCCACCTCAGCTATAATTCATAAGCCACGTGCATGAATTGAGTTTTTGATAAAATTTTGGGTTTGCAATGAATATTCAAACAAGACTTTGTAGGAATAACAAACGTGTAAATGTAATCATGAGAATCAAGAAAGTAAATATTTTTAGGTTTCTGCAATTCTTGTGAGAACGTCTAAATATCCTATCTCAAAAGGGGCATTCGCTATTTTCATGGTAGTTAATGGTCTCATGGTAGTTATTGACGTCACGGTAGTTATTGACGTCACGGTAGTTATTGACGTCACGGAATTTATTTTGATACATTTCATTTTTATTTCAATTTATTCTGACATATTTCATTTTACTTCACGAAAGTATTTATATTCGGTGGATTGGCTCTGGGTAATTTTAGAATTAATAATAAATACTGAAAAAAATTAGTCTGTTTTGCAGAATTAGGCCAGAAGAGCGAAAAAAATGTATAAAAATTATTTCGGTGTTTATTTTTCAATTTGAGATGGTTTAGACTTTAGAAATTACTACCCGAGTATGCTTTTGAAACTTTTGACTAGAGTATGTAGAAATATTTTCATCATCTAAACCTATTCTCTTATATGGTACACACTCACCAACAATTTGCAAGTACCCCATTTGGTTGATCATAGGATCAGTGTTGATCTGGCACATGTAATAGCCTCGGTCAGACTCTTTGACTTCTGACTTTTAGTTTATATATCTATTTTCATCATCTAAACCTATACTCTTATATGGTACACACTCACCAACAATTTGCAAGTACCCCATTTGGTTGATCATAGGATCTGTGTTGATCTGGCACATGTAGTAGCCTCGGTCAGACTCTTTGACGTCTTTGAGGTGCAGCCTGTAGAGGGTCTGATCTTCGTGACTGAGGCCGACCCTTGTGTTGCGGGTGATCACTGTGTTGTGGATCGTCAGGATTGTCTGCGTGTCAACTTGCACCCATGCCACCTGTTCGCAGTCAAATAAAACCATCATATTTTATTTTACACAGTGAAATAAAACGATCGGAGGTTCAAGTAAATGGTAATTGTAAAATTTATAGCTGCCACTTGCACCCATGCCACCTGTTCACAGTGAAATAAAATGATAAGAGGCTCAAGTAAATGGTAATTGTAAAATTTAAGGCGGCACTAGCACCCATGCTGTCTGTTCACAGTCAAATTAAACCATAACATTGCAAGTAAGAGCAATTATGGAATTTATGGCTGCCACTTGCATTGATGATATATGTATCAAGTGAAATAAAATGATCAAAAACGTGCTTTAAAGTCAATTATGATAATTCGGACTGCGTCACTTGCATCCACGCTACGGGTAATGGGATAATTGGAGCAATAAGATGTGTGCGTAGTGGCTTTAAGTTAATCAGTAGAATGAACATTTAGGCAGCGCCATCAACCTAATATGTGAGTGCGGCAGCACTATATAGATGTGACTGCCAAATATATTGCACAATTTATCGTTGCATTCTTACATCCGAGAAGGAGTAAATTAGCTGCGAATCCAGGTTCTTCCAACTTTTATCTCTTAAGTCGACGCAATTTCAATCAGTGACATCACCACCAAACGACTGATCGTTATATGATGATTTATAATACATGATATTCACCCAATATGATGCAAGATTTCTGAGATTTATGTGCTCATGAGAGTAGATATATGATAATTAATTCTGTACATAGCGATTTTGGGAGTCTAGGCTTGATAGAAAAAATCAATATGAAGGTATGGTAAAATGTGGTCTTAAGACGAAGAATTTGAATAATTTCCTCAATTGTAGAATGTAGAGGCGATTTTTTGCCTGCAAAAACGATTAAGATTAAACGATTAAAAATTAGTTTGAAAATACCAAGGATCGTTGTACCGTCTATCCACACCGCAGATTCAACTTACTTTGCCAGCCAAGACACAAGCCTTGTTTGAATCTCCGACCGAGCAGAGATATTATTTAGCAAAGATTTAAAGAGCCAAGAACAAGCTTAGCAATGTCGGGAAACTCGACGTTGATTATGCTTGAAAGTGTTTAGTTGTTCCGCTTTATATCGAGCGGCGCATCTTTCTGAACGATTCCATTTAGTTCGGAGCAGGGGAGCTGGAGGGGAGATTAGCTGGGCACTGAGCGATTAAAAGCTAATTACCTGTAAGGAAAAATACGAAGCCTCGCAATCATAAACCAAAGCAACTGCGAGCGAAGCGCTGGTCGAGGGAGGTATGCTTCGTTAAGAAAATTAATTTCTTAGACCGTGAAGGTAAACTTTCGGAAAGGAAACATTTTACGTCACTGAAATATTTTCAAGGCAATCATGAATTATAATATTCAATTGACAGATTAACTGTTTGATATTTTTTGTTGATTTCTCAATCTATTGAAAGAAGGGAATTATTTCGAACAAGTCTTGATACGTTGAACGTACAGAGAAAAATTACATACGAAACACGTGTTCGCTTCGGAAAATGCTAATATTAATTATAAGGTTATCTATAAATATGCTAATGCCCGAGGAAATAGCGCAATAAGAATGCAATGCGTTTTCATGCATCGTGATCTTTATTGACGTGCGATCGCTATCAGCCTAGAGTCACGAGATTAAGATTATGGTGAAAGTGTTCAGTTGAAAACGAAAAGAATTGACTTCCTTTGTTTTGAGGTCGGAACCAATTCTTGCTCAAAAATATCATTTTGATTGCATGACACGAAGATTAGTGTCGATGTCGATGATTTTGAAAATTTACATTCAAGTGAAATTTGCGCCATTGAAATCATATTTAGCATAGTTCTACAATAGACAATATATGTGATACCGCAACTAACCTTGTAGCCCCGGAGGTTCTGCACTCTGCACGACAGCACAGCGTCACGGCCCACGGTCACGGTGGTGTTGGCGATCGTGCCCACGAAGCTCGGACCAGCCAGGCCCGACCCACGACAACAACCTGCACAGAATTTTGGTGTAGTTACGTAAAAGTTATTCCTCTATGCAAATTCTTGATTAAAGGCCAAAGAATAATTTTCATATTTTTTTTCGAACGATATTTCTTGCTGGAACGTCGTTAAACAAGAAAATTCTCTATGAATCGCATTCTCTGGTCTTTATTCAAACTTGCATGCCCAGTATTTCATAGAATCCAGTGATTAATTGCATGATAAATATGGTTCTGGTCAATTAATCAATCATAATAACAATAGAGAAACTGAGTAATATGTGACTGCCAGAATGCTTGATTAGTTAATTGTGAGAAAATGGAAGAAAATCTACCGTTTAAGTTTTCTACAGTAGACTGAGATTTATAAATCAATAATTTGGCATAGCACATTTACCAAAATTGTTGATGCAATGTACCTTTTGCCTTGGTTTAGATTTTATATTGATTGCCAAACATTGTAACAACCACAGTATTATATTATATTTTATATTCTCTTTACAGCGTTGCGGAAAATACGGGATATGCTCCAAAATAATTTAAATGTAATGAATATATATATATATGTAATGAATCAATATGAAGGAATTCAGAGTTAGAAAAATTTGAGGCCGCTAATTTATAAGTGGGTTGAAAGTAGCGTCAATAAACGAGACTCCGCGGAAACTTTAAGTTAGTCGTAAGTCACGTGGCGGTAAACTTCAAGTTCAAAACTTGGGTGAAGTCATAAGTCATGAACCCACGTCAATATCGGCTCCAATCAGCAGCGTACAGCCGATTGCTTTTGCCCTCCCTCTGGTCTTCTATATTTTCTTCTTTGTTTCCTGATAAGGGAATCCCATTCTTAAATTAGTGTCTTCGGAATCCTTTTTATATTTATGGAAAAACTTTCTCCGGAAGAGCGTATCGGCGTCCGCCCAAGTGAAAACGCGACCTATCGTTGCCACTTGACCGAATGGTGCCACAGCACCGTGGTCGGCGCGCTCTCCGTCTTGATTTCCAGGGATTACGACAAATTGTGAAATCGATGGCCTCCCTTAGGTGGCAAATCACCACAAATCTTGCTATATGAGGCGGATATTAATTATGAGTTACGTAAATTCCAAATTTACGGTTAATTCAATATAAATGTCTCTCGGGATTTCCATTAATTTAATCTTTAGGACAAAATATGTTAGTGAAATTTCATACCCCAAGAAAGCTAGTAAAAATTCAGAATGTCCATTTTAATAAGGAATTTTATACGAAGAATCAGCGTATATAAACGAAAATTTAAACGAAAATTTCCTTATTCCTTAAAATGAAATAAAAGTACAGCCGACAGTTAGTGGAACAAGAGGTTTCTTGACACACAGGACGAATGAGGGCTACAGCAAAGATCACTCGCGTGAAACAATGAGGGTGATCTTCAGCCATGAGGTAACATGCCACTTACGCTCTAAATATTGTATGAAAATGTATTTAAATTTCATTAGAAATATTTACTCTTTGTTATGTTTCTTCTGTAGACAAGTTATCTACCATGACTGAAATAGAGTACGCGAGCCTACCGGCTCGTTAGAAGATAAATGATTATTTTTTTGGTAGTTTTGTGGCTCTTTGCGCGTCCTATTAATAAAAGAAAAGAATAAAAAATGCGCTGAAAAGGATAACGCATTTGAAAAATAAGTGAGTTAAAAAAAGGAATTATGATTCTAAAATAATTAATTGATATTTATACACAAAGACATGCCTGTGGGTGAAACATTGACTTCCAAGCAAACTGTTGAGACAAAATTAATGAACTTGACGATGAATGATGAAATGAAATTATACATGCATAAAATTTCCTGCTAGCCACTAGGTTATATTTTTACCGCAATACTTTTTGTATTACAAAAAAAACCACGACTGTAAAGGTTGTGAGCGAGTTATAGCGCTGGCCTAGCAATAGTTCACAATAATGAAAGATAACGAACCTAGCAATATTGAGTGATAACAAACCTTATGAAAATTAGATATAGTATCTTAAGTATCCTTAGAAATAGGCCATGGGCCTATTTATTCAACGCCGACACTTCTATTCTATTCTATTCTTAGCATATGTTTCGGGCGTAGCAGTCCCAGGCTACAGTCCCAGGCCACGATGGATCACCGCCTCTGACTATCGCACATCCGCCCTCATTTGGGCCACCTGATGCACGATGCTGTTGCTTGCTTCTTGCCGCTGGTAGTGGTGCAGGGGCGGACTATCAGGGATTGTGCCCAGGAACACGTCCAGTCGTCTCTTGATTGTCTTCAGGGTGAACTCACCCTCTCTTAGATCCTTTGGTAGGACGGTAAACAGCCTCGGCCCTGCCACGGAAAGAGATAATTTCCGTAGGGATTCTAATCTGACCGCGGATCTAATGCGTAGTGGCGCTCCCCCTTCTCTCGTTATGGCATGTTTCAACACTGAAGGTCTCACTTTTGAAGTTAGGTGCCGTTTCGGTTATTATGTTCCCTTTGTACAGAATGATATTTTTCTCCCGCCTCCTCTGCAGTGAGTGTTGACCCAGGCGCTCAAACCTCCTCCACTATTTTTACTCCTCTATCCCTCTGATCCTAGAAGTGAAAGTTTGCTAGACCGAGTGTGAAAGGGGTCCAAAGCTGGCTGCAGTTTTCAAGAAGAGGTATCATAAGGGCTCTGATGAGTGTGATCATCGGTTCCGCTTCTCTTGTTCTGAACTTCCGCTAGATCCACTTCATCTGTCGCCTGCCTGCTGCAGTTATTGCCGCTATATGTGATCACCCAACTTGACCTGAGTATTCATCAACACTCCTAGATTTCGAACGGATTGCTGCCCTCCGATTTCCGATGCGTCAGGTGTCAGGTAGCGGTGCACCATACCAGCTCTTCCCCTACCTCTGTATCTCAGAGCCTCAAACTTGGACCCTTTAAACAGCATGTTGTTCACTTGGGCCCAGTCATATATTGCAGAGAGGTCTTGCAACCTCTCGCAGTCCCTCCTGTCCGTTATGGTCATTAGTATCCTGGTGTCGTCCGCGAATGACGATGCAGTGGCGTGGTTCACAGCCACATCAATGTCGGCAATGTGGATGAGGAAGAGGAAAGGTCCGAGTACCGTTCCCTGTGTTACTCAACTCTTCACCCTAGCCTCGCTCGATCTCAAGCCTCCAATATCGAAAGCCTATATAGTCTTTCAGTTAGGAAGTTGTGCATCCATGCCAACTAATCACCATGCCAACAATAGTCTTAATTTTCTGCAGAGCACTCCATGGTCAGCTTTGTCAAACGCCTTTCACGAAGTCCAAATACACCACGACTACCTCGGCCCCCTCCTCTAGCATGGCCAGGTTTTGGTGGTGAAAGTCCAGTAGCTGAGATAAACATGAGCGATTTCGTATAAAACTGTGTTGCCTTCTGTTGAAAAGGGCAGCCTTTTCCATGTACTGCATCAACCTTCTGGCAACAACCTTCTCAAATACTTTGATTACGTGTGATGTAAATGTAACCGGCCTGTAATTTTGGGGTTTGTCTTTTGCACCTCCGTTGTAGATTTGGGTTTTTAGCAGTTATTTTAGGTCACTAGGAACGTTTCCTTCCCTCAATAATGTTTTCCATGCAAAGTCAGAGGGGCCGTTAGTGCACCGACACATTTTTTCAGTAACACTGCAAGGGCTCCATCTGGGCCAGGAACCGAATAAGTCGACAATTCTTGGACACTCTTCTCTAGATGTTTCAAACTCAATTTTTATCAGCATACGGCACTTCTTGAATGACTCCAATTTCGTTCTTCTGTCTTGAGTTTCGGGCTTCACTGAATGCTTGTGCGAAACTGCGCTCTTAGCAGTTCGCACATGCCCTGGTCGTCTCCAACAAGGACATCGTTATTTTTCAGAGGCCCCACTGTCGCCCTGATTTTGGCCTTTGCTGGGCATATTTATAAAACAATTTGTGATTATCCCAATTAGCAGCCACCGCTAGCGTCTCCTGTACTTGTTGCTCAGCCTCATGAGAGTCCTGCAGCTGTCGTTATATAAGTATCCTAAAATTTCTCCTGCTTGCTCAGACTCGCTCGTTTTCTCATGAAGATCCGTCTGTCCCTTGGAATTATGCGCCTTTTGGGTGTTGTTCTACCCGGCGTGTGACGCGCGCATACCTGCAGTAATACTTCGCACAGCTTGATGATGGCAGACACTACGGCAATGAGCGATAACAAACCTTCTAAAAATTAGCGATAACAGACACTGCAGTAATTAGTGATAACAAACCTTCTAAAAATTAGCGATAACAGACACTGCAGTAATGAGCGATAACAAACCTTCTAAAAATTAGCGATAACAGACACTGCAGTAATGAGCGATAATAAACCTGATAAAAATTAACGCTAACAGACACTACGGTGGTGAGCGATAACAAACCTTATGTTTTTTTTACCGATAACAGGCACTGCAGTAATGAGCGATAACAAACCTAATAAAAATTAGCAATAATAGACACTACAGTAATTGGCTATAACAAGCCTTAGGAAAATTAGTGTTAACAGACACTACAGTAATATGCGATAACAAACGTTATAAAAATTAGTGTTGACAGACTACGGTAATGAGCGATAACAAACCTTATAAGAGTTAGCGATAACAGAAACTACAGTAATGAGCGAAAACAAACCTTTTAAGAATCAGCGATAACAGACATTACCGTAATGAGCGATAACAAAACTTATCAGAATTAGCGATAACTGAAACTACAGTAATGAGCGAAAACAAGTCTTATTACAATCAGCGATAACAGACATTACCGTAATAAGCGATAACAGACATTACCGTAATAAGCGATAACAGACATTACCGTAATAAGCGATAACAGACATTACCGTAATGAGCGATAACAGAACTTACCGTAATTAATGAGCGATAACAAATCTTTTAAGAATAAGCGATAACAGACTTTACCGTAATGAGCGATAACAAATCTTCTAGGAATCAGCGATAACAGACACTACCGTAATAAGCGATAACAGACACTACCGTAATGAGCGATAACAAATCTTCTAGGAATCAGCGATAACAGACATTACCGTAATAAGCGATAACGGACGTTACCGTAATGAGCGATAACAGAACTTACCTAATATAAAAAGCAGGAGCAGAGCTGTCGAGCGGTAACCGCTCCTAACCGTCACCAATCTTGCACGCGTGTCTTCCATTCCATGAGCCGGGTCTGGACGCTGCCACTCACTGCATTGTTCATTATGACTGCCACCAGCGCTTGCTTTATTTATTGGGTTCTTCCTGACGCTTGAAACAGCGTTTTGTTTGTTCGTAGCACTGATTCGGTTCATTCTGAAGCGTTTGATGATATTTATCTTTTATTTATTTATTATTTCACAACGTGTCGTTCTACTTGCATGGTCATTATAAGTGCGATAATTTATTTCTATTTCCAACGTTCAAAGAATCATTGCCATTAACGGAAAACATAAACATTTTACACGATGTTGCAGTTCTATTTTTGCGATACGAATGCCTCATCCATTGTGACATGCACATCACAGAATGCCTATAACATTTTCACGACCACCAAAATGCTTCAGAACAAAATTTGAACTAATAGGGGAATTTTAAATTTTCTAATAACAGATTTTTTATGGTAGCAGGTAAATTGAATTTTTCATGTTTCACACAGAATCTTTTTACTGCCTCGCATTTTACACGCTTTCCTTGAGATGTTCTATGCAAAGATCACCATGTAAAAACTCTTTTCACTGTAATTGTAAATATCATGATTGATGATAGCACGATTGATTGATTAGAGATACGAGGAGGAAGGATTTAATTTATTTATATTATTTTTTTATAAGAACTATGTGATCGCCAGAATACAAAGTAAAACTCTATTGTTCGAAGCACGTACATTTACAAACCAAGTATGCAAGTTATCTTCATTAAATAAATCATGTTGAGTGATTCCAAGGATGTACTTTAAGACATTTAGAGGTTGCATTCATTCTCAATGAAATTCTGCGTTACTAATGCGGAAAAATGTTCGCAATCAAGACCACATATGTGTCTCTTGGTCACCATGAACAAAACGTTTTCTTTATATTACATTAGAGCCTACGATGTAAGATTCAAGCCTAACCTATTTATTGATTTATATATACGTCACTCGGCTGAATTAAATTGACCAACATGAAAAGCACAAGTAACGAGAATATTGCTAAGCATGACCAGTCTTCACTCCATCACGCTGAAGTGATGGCTGATGGAAGTGGTCTAGCGAGAGGTAATGAGGCTACCTGTCAATATACTCTTAGACAACCTTTAATAATATAAAAATAAGAGCGGCCTTTTACGGCCACGGCCAGTCGGTTTTTTCTCAATTTGCTGGCGGACTCTTAAAGAACTGCTAAAATACTGAAGTGCATAGAAGAAATCGTCAAGGTTTTTAATTTTGTTCAACAATTTAGAGCTTCGTTCCATTGTGTTCAACATCCCGTGCGTTTTATTCAATAATTCTTGTGTTTGTTCAATTGCCTTATGTTTTGTTCAATTACTTTATGTTTTGCTCAATATAACTTGTGTTTTATTCAATTTCCTTTTGGTTTGTTCAATATATCTTGTGTTTTGTTCAATATATCTTACGTTTTGTTCAATATATTTTGTGTTTTGTTCAATATATTTTGTGTTTTGTTCAATATATTTTGTGTTTTGTTCAATATATTTTGTGTTTTGTTCAATATATCTTGTGTTTTGTTCAATATATCTTTTGTTTTGTTCAATATATTTTGTGTTTTGTTCAATATATCTTGTGTTTTGTTCAATATATTTTGTGTTTTGTTCAATATATTTTACGTTTTCTTCAATATTTTTCCCTATATTACTCTGCTGCTTGTTTGTATTTTAAAAAATATTTGTCGTTAGGTAGAGTTGGAGCCAAAATTTTGAAAGTATTATGAGAGCGTTGACACGTTCATAAAAATCATTTTCTTAACTTTGCAGTTAAGAAAATAATTAGATGGAGTCGTGACCTGAAGAGAAGTCAGTGAGAGGTAAGTGACAGCTCGCTGAGAAACAGTCGTGAACTGAAGAGAAGTCATTGAATGGCAAGTGACAGCTCGCTGAGAAACAGTCGTGAAATGAAGAGAAGTCAGTGAGCAAGTGACAGCTCGCTGAGAAACAGTCGTGAACTGATGAGAAGTCAGTGAGGCAAGTGACAGCTCGCTGAGAAACAGTCGTGAAATGAAGAGAAGTCAGTGAGTGGCAAGTGACAGCTTGCTGAGAAACAGTCGTGGACTGAAGATAAGTCAGTGAGTGGCAGTGACAGCTCGCTGAGAAACAGTCCTGAACTGAAGATAAGTCAGTGAGTGGCAAGTGACAACTCGCTGAGAAACAGTCCTGAACTGAAGAGAAGTCAGCGAGTGGCAATTGACGCTGAGACAGCAAGGCACTAAACTGCGGTTGACGGCAAATCAATGCTGAAATATCTGTCAAACTCTGTACACTCGCGCGCTCAACTTTCCAGACAGCTTCTGTCGTGGCGAAAGAGTGAAACTTCAGCTAGGATGATATTTAATATTACAGTGAGCGGAATGCAATAATAAGTAATAAAGATAAATTAAAAATGAATAATGATAAATATTTTTTAAAGTGTGAATAATTTTCCAATATAATCGTTGGCATAAATGATAATCTAAGCATTATTTTATCTTAAGAGTAGACCAGGAATAATTTTACACAGCACGTCATTAATTTCCAATACATTCGTGGAGAATGATTTCCGTCATATTTCCAGTCACTTGAAATATTTTTCATACATAGCCTTACATTTTTGTGAGGTTATGATGGAATAACCTGCTCCTTTAGCTAACCTGTCACGATGGATTAACTTCCCTCCTTGGTGAACCCATCATGAAGGGTTAAGCAGATGATTATCTTACTCAACATAAAAAATTGGGTTGGGTAAGGAAGCTGCATCGGGTTATCCTGATGCACAGAGTTAACATTCAGTATTTGGCTTAATCTAGAACGCCGGGTAACCTTCTTCATTATGCAAATGCAAACAGTCAGGTTAAATTGGTTACGCACCTAAACTGTAGGCGTATTTTATTAAATTAAAGGGGGGAGGTGTATTTTAGTTCTTGAAGGTAGACGTGTATTTTTCGTTCGTGTGTCGATCATTAGACATGTTATATGAGAATATGTCAGAACCGCGCTTGTTTTCGAATAACATTAACGAAGAATAGAACTGCGCGTGTGTTAGAAAATGTGCTTTATTTAGAATAGTGGGTTTTAAAAAATGTATTGCATTTAATAATAAATAGTTTTGAAAAGTGTCGGCCTTATCATTTTCAAGATCTAGCTAATCAAATCATAGAATTTCTATACGAGTCAGTCAGATAAATGCAAAAAGTCAACGGATATTGCTACTAGGATTCAAATAACTGGAAGCTAGTGAATGCTAGATGTCAACGGATATTGCTACTAGGATTAAACTGATTTGAGGCCAGCGAATGATGAAAGTCTACGGATATTGCTACCAGGATTAAACTAATTTGATGCCCTTGAATGGTTGAAGTCCACGGATATTGCTACCAGGATTCAACTAATTGGATGTCCGTGAATGGTTGAAGTCTACGGATATTGCTACCAGGATTCAACTTATTGGATGCCCGTGAATGGTTGAAGTCTACGGTTATTGCTACTAAGATTCAACTAACTTCAAGCAAACTGAAGCAGTTGGGCTTTGCAACACTTTTTTCATGCAATATTCTCGATTTGAAAACAATCGTCTGAACAGAGCCTGCAGTATATTTCTGTATTCCTGAAAAATGAGTACAATTTTTAAGTTACTGATAATTATTATTTTTTATATTTTAATTCATATAATCATAATATAATAAAAATTTATGTAGCGATTCAAGTCAAGAAATAGTTAATAATTTCCGACAGTCTGATTATATTCATTTTTACGGACGTAGGGAATAGGAACTAGACATTATAACTGAAAAACCAATGGTACAGCTTAATAAGAATCAAGTCTAAATTTAAATCTTCAGGCATATTTGTTCCTAGAAGTTTCAATCAAATGTTAATAAATCAAAAAATTATGTTAGGAATAAAATCAGGAACACATCATTATTGGCATCAACAGATGAAAGTTCAGCGGTCAACGGAAGCTCACAGGTAAATTGTTCGGTTAGAATTATTCTGCACAATCATAAGACATTATTGAAAATTATTGAATTATAATTGTTGAATTATTATTATAATAATATATATTATTTCAATAATTGATGAAATGTTTAGTATTTCTTCTTGTGATAGAAACAAATGAAATGCTTATTTCTTCTTGTGATAGAAACAAATGAAATGCTTATTTCTTTCTTGTACAATTGCAATGCTGGGCCGGAAGAAGAAGAGCTCAGCGACGCGGGCCACAGACGGCAACCTCGTCTGATCTAATTTGCGTCGCGCCAGATTCGATAGCGACACTTGCGAGAGAGTGAGGTTGGTGTGGAGGGAGGTTGGGTAGTGAATACGATCGAGAGAGAAAAGGTTGGGGGAGAGAGGAGAGGTTGGTACGAGTGGAGTAGCTGGTCATTGGAGAGTTTGGGTGAATGGAAAGGTTGGGGAGAGGGGGGATTGAGAGTGGGGAGAATATTGACTAGAGAAATCAAAGAAAATTCGTGGGGAGAATAGGAAGAGTGGGAAGGAAAGAGAACAGAGAGGTTGGAGAGGTTTGTTCAAGTAGAGAGGCCAGGGAGTAAAGTCATTTGGGAGAAAAAGTGTTGAGAGGTGGGAAGGTTGGGGAGGAGGAGAAAAGTTTAAGAAGAGGAATGTTGAGGAAAATATTGTGGTTGGGTGGGGTTGTTGATTTGTTGATTGCTGGTGTAGAGGAGGGGGTAATATGAGAAGAAGGTTGAATTGCATAATTAATATTTTTATTAAATGAGGTAATAAAATCTTGTAATAGCCGAGATTAACTATAAAGTCGTCAATTGACATTAAGATTTTCTGGGGAAAATAATATATGAGAAGTAATAATAACTTTATTTAGGATATAATATTAGTTTTGGATGCAATGATTAAGAGTATCAGAGTTAAAAGGGGAATTGTTGTAGGAATAGAATGACAATTTTTACCAAAAAGTTTATGGGTTATCAAGTTTCG